GCAATTAATGAACGCTCCACAGTCGTTGACTCTTGATTTTCGATAATATGATGATACAACAGTAATTAACTACTAAAACCAAAGAGAAATGCTAATTTGCAGACTAAACATGGACAATGATATCCCATGTTCAAGAAACAGAGCAAGTGCTCCAAGAAACAGAACTAAACATGAACAATGATATCCCATGTTCTTTTTTTTTTTTTTTTGGTCAATTATCCCATGTTCAAATAGTTGATACATTTAAACTACCATACAAAAATAAATAAATAAATAAAAAGAAAAAAAAGAGGAAAGCACAGCCAAGCCTCAAAAGGCACAAAAGGATGGCCCTAAAGCCATCCAGTAAAAAGAACCTAATTAAAAGGGGCCAAGGAAGCCCATCTCTTGAAAGAACAAGAACCAACGCCCATCTGTGGTTTCTCACCCTCGCTGCAGCCGCATGAGCTGCTCTATTTGTCTGCCTTGACACCCATCGCATCTGAAAGCATTGAGAAACGGCTAAAACCTTCAAAACACAATGGAGAAAATTTTCCACATTACACTAACACTCTTTTTTGTCACAACTCCTTTAGAGTCATTCTCTTAAAAGTGGAATTCTCAATAAACTTTTTGTCACATCATGTTTTTAGCACAATATTTTATAATATTGACATGGAAATTAACGTTAAACTATGATGTGACAGAATCCATAAAGAGTCACACTTTAAGAGTCTCCTTAACATTTCTCAAAACCAAATGGAAAATAATCAAATTAATTGGTTTCATTAAATAATTTAGGTTTTGACCAAAAAAATGATTTAGGTTATTGTAGAAACTATAATTTTGGAGAATTGTATAACTCGTATGCCTTGGAGATGTTCATGCATGTATCACAAGAAAAGTCAACCAATGTTAGTGATTATTGCCAACTTTTCTTGTAGTGATGTGTGTGATTGGGCGTTGTTAAACGCTTGAAATCCATCTTAATTATGTCATTTTTTTTTCGTTAAATAAAGAGTAATATCAACGGGGCAAATCTAAAGAGAACATGAAACATAAAGCAGGGAGAGAGAAACTCTCAAAGCACCCACAAATGAAAGGGAAAAGAATCCCAAAACAAAGCCTAACCCACGTAAGGGAAAATGACAAGAAAGCCAAGAGCCTAAGGAACAACATTTTTTTGTTATGGAGGATCATCATGTTAATGGTGGAGAGCTTAACATGCAAAGTACATAGCCGATACTTGATCATATTAGTGATCAACTGAAGAAGAGCAGCAAGGGGATTTTCTACAATTGTTGAACATGCGGTTAAGTCATCTCCAACCGAATGATCCAGAGGGCCAGATGGCCGAAAATAGCCCGAAAATCGTCTCCAACTGAGGGCTAGGTCAGAGGGCTCGTGGGCCTCACGAAATCTGAAATGGCCAAAGGGCCTCACAAGCAGCCAGCCAACCAACCCAGGCTAGGCTAGAGGGCTGAGTATTCCTGTCGGTTATAACCAACAAGAATGCTTAAACAAAAATTTGAATCCAACTGCTAGCTGACTAGCTGTTGTATTCAATTTTTATTTTTTTGGTTTTTTGGGCCATTTTTTTTAATTCTTAAAAATTCAAAAAAAAATTCCCATAAATACCTAAACCATTCATTAAATTGAAGTGCTAATTTTTTTGGTTTTTTGGGCCAATTACCGTTGTAGTTTTTAAATATAAGTTGTAATTTTTAAATTTGAGTTGTTGTAGTTTTTAAATTTAAATAATAAATTATGTTTGGCTCCATTACCCTTTGGCACTCGGTTGGAGAAGGTTTGTTGTGACATGGTTAAAACAAGCCCTATGGCCCTTTGGCCCTCGGTTGGAGACGAAGGAAAATATGGCCATGTACTGTTTATTAAAATATTAATATCTTGGAGGGCTAGAGGGCTAAAACGAGCCATCTGGCTTGCCCTCGGCTAAAGATGGCCTTATTACATTCACACCGTATGCAATAGATAGTGATTGCAAGAGAGAGCTTTCTAACCACCACGGGAATGGATTTCCCACGCCAATGGGCTGCCACATAGTCCACAAAAAAAAGGGCATGGAGGATGAAGCCAAGGAACCCCACACCTCATCAACACATGTTGCCATATGCCTTCAGTAAAGGGGCATTCAATGAAGAGGTGGGAATGAGATTCCAAGTCAAAGTCGCAAAGCACACCGTTGAGATTGGCACAAGAAGAAAATTGACCAAAAGCGTAGTTAGCTTATTCTTGATGGCTAACTAAAAAACAAAATTCACACACGGAATACAAGCATTATGCCACAAAAAGTGATCCCAAGGAATTTTTGGAGCCACACAACAAATGCAATTCCATATAGAAGCTGAAGAGAAAATACCGTTGTTATTAGGAAACCAAAATGAGGAATCCAAACTCTGCGAATGTAATTCCACATAGAAGCCGAAGAGAAAACACCTTGTTGCTAGGTAACCAAAATGAGGAATCCAAACTCTGAGAAGAAGGCACAATACTATAGGAATTTGATTGAATGAAACGATATATCTTGAGACAGATGAACTCTAAAAACTCCAAAAATACTATTCATCACATAAATACACTATTCGTGCGAAGATTACTATTCACATCTAGAACTCGTCAATCTGAACTGCTCTTATAGTCCTACGTCATATTGGGTAAATGGTTGTGCATGGTACAACTACGAGTTGAAACTAGGTATGCACATATGGAGCAGTAATATAAGTAAGGTCATCTCCAACCTGGCCGGTCAAAGGGCATAGGCCAAAACATGACTCTTTTTTACACAAAATCCATCTCCAATTGAGGGCTGAGCCAAAAAAAATTGGAACCCATGGGGCCAAAATCCAAGCAAATGGCCAGCGAGCTGGGCATCCTTAGCCAGCCAACCAGCCTGAAATGTTGGGCCGAGCTGTCAACAACCCACTTGCTAGCTGATGTCAACTAGTCATTGGATTTGATATTTTTTTTTTTTAAGATGAATTTAAAAAAAAATCTAGTTTTTTTCTTATAAATATATAAGTCATCATATCTACTCCATTTCTCACATCATTTTCACCATTCCATACTATTTTACCTCATTTTATTTCACATCTTCACATTCTTTAAACTATTATCCGAAAAAGTAACTACTTTTTTTTTTGAAGCCAAATAGACATAACATTCCAAAAAATTATTAAAATTACATAAAGATAAGAAATATGGAGAGTTACTCATTTAGAAATATGGTAGTTTAATTCAATTAACCAATAAAGTTAAAGAACAAACTTAAAAATAATAAATTATTGAGGGGGCTAAAAAATAGCCTCATTTAGTTGGAGATGGTATATGAATATAGACTGACATTGTTCATTAAAAAATTATTTCTTGTAGGGTTACAATCTGAACGAAGGTTAAACATAGCTCATTCGGTTGGAGATGGCCTAATGATTTATCTTTCAAGCATCGTAAAGTACGATCTGAATAAAACAAAAAAGATAATTAATCTAACTAAGTAGATTATGGTTGTACTCGTCACCTTGTTTGAGGAGAATAGATGGATCTGGTGAAGTAATCGATTGAAGGAGGTAGGGAAACAAAAAATAATAAAAATCTAAGCAGATAATACAATCCGAATGAAACAAAGAGATAATGAGGTGGACAGATAAAATTGGCCCTTTTATTCTTATGTAAACCTCCACTGATAGTTCATGCTCTTGTTAACCAATTAATTATAGTTAGGGCTGGTTTGGTATTGATGTGCTTTGAAAAAAAAAAACTACTTCTGCTGTGCTGTGAGAATAAGCTCATTTTTGTTGCTTCATGTTTTCAGCTTTTTTTTCATCTAAAACTGTGAAAATAAGCTGTTTTTAAGTGTTTACCAAATACCTTTTTGAGCTCAACTTTTTTTTATACCCATTTTTTATAAAAGCATCTCACTACCAAATTAGTACTTAAGCTGGTCTGAACTTTCAAGTGAAGCTTAGGGGTGAGATGCGGCAGATAGTGTAGGGTAATGCTAAAAAGATCAAGTTTTTTATATTAAATAATGTTATTGTAGATGATTATATTATTAATTTAAGTGTCAATTAACATGTTTGCACCCTCAAATCAAATTAATTGGTTTTATAACTATAGTATATAGCGGATGCAACTATATGGGGTGCTTTTATCACATCCCGTCGAATCCAAAAAAACCTGAGGTTTGCAGAGACTGCAGCAAAGAACCACTTTGAGTTGGAACCTCATAATCCAGCCAGTTATGTCTTGATGACGAACTTATATTCGATGTCAAACAGATGGAAGGATGTGAAGCGTCTCAAAGATTCGATGAAGAACGCCAGCGTGAAGAATGGGCCCGTATGGAGCTGGATACAAATTGATCAGACAATTCATATGTTTTCGGCACAAGGGAAAACCTCATACCGATACAGGATAAGTACATTTTGAATTGTATCATTTGGTTCATGAGATGAAGAAAGTGGGGTATGAGGTTGAAAAGAAGAAGCTGCTGCTAAGTCGTACGGAGAAGCTGGCCATTGCTTACGGACTGATGAATACGAAAAGTGGAGAAACAATCAGGGTGATTAAGAACACACGAGTTTGTTCCGATTGCCATACAGAAGCAAAATACATGTCGTTAGTGCGTAAACGCGAGATTTTCCCTGAGGACGGTGTTCGGTTTCACCATTTCAGGGAAGGAGTGTACCTGCAATGACTGCTGGTAAGGAGGGAGGGCTACAAAATGCTTCAACCGGCTCAGACGGAGCTAAGATCAAGGCAGATGGGGTGAGAACTTCACCCCAATTGGTCAAGTTTAAGGTGAATGCTCCATGTAATAACAGTGAATCCTACACAGAGCTCACCCGTGTAGGGATGCCAGCCGGTTGCGATTATCCGACGGAAGCTCCATTGCATGTTCTCATCAATCTGTGCGGTGTATTCTCATTGAATTCCACAACACTGAAGTTATATACGAAAGAATAGGTCATTATTATTGAGGCATCGGCATATAATCCAACAAGTAGAAAGACAGAAGTAACGCGTTTACGATAATTTATTAAGAATGCAAATACATAAGGTATATACAAAAACAAACAACAACGCAACAGCGGTTCGAAGCCCTGAATCCTCCCTGCACTACATGAAAACCCCAATTCCATAGATACCATCTGTTTCCAAGATAAATATTTACAGATCAGAGCATACTAACATCGGTATCACCATGCACGAAACACAGGAACAATAAAACTCACAGTAGCTTTCCCTTTCCATCCATGGAGAGCTTATAAAAACCTATAAAGCTCGTCCATCAAACATGAATACGAGAAACCCCAGCATCATTTCCAGTGTGAGAAGAATATATGCGAGAGCAATTGGAAAGAGGGTAGGAAGGATGTTCATCAGTCAGATGCAAAAGGTCCAAAACTTCTGTGAATGGAAGGAAAGCTCGGACTATCTCTACACAGCATTTGAGACAAAAAAAACCACATGGTTGGTTTACCTATAGCCTATCGTACTCCTGTGCCATTCCCCAACTCCACTAATGATTGATAGGTTCAGTTCGGTCCTGGACAGCCATCCTCTCTGAGACATCAGCCAAAGACTTGAGGTTGCACCGGATCAGGGCCTCAACAAAGTAGCACGTCTCATCCTTGGTATTCCCCTCAGGCACATCCACTACAAAGGATTCAATAACAAGTGTCCCCGGTCTTCCTTCAATAACCTCAGGGTGTACAGTAATAATTGAAGAGTAGTTCTGCAATTTCAAAGAACATATAGAAATGAGGTTAGGAAGGCGTTCGTGTACCACATAATAATACAGGTGTAAAAAGAATATTTTCCAAATATCAATGAAAAAATTGTAAACTAATTTGGGCATAATAAATTGACAAAATACATATCTCATGCACGTGATGGCCAGATGCTGGCAGCGTTGTCTGTATACTGAAAACCAGACAAATGTTGCCGTTATCAATATTACATGTTTTAGGATTAAGTCTTGAGACACGTTGAGAATGCTACGGGCAATCGCTAAGGAACCCTAAACCCTATTTGCAGGCACATATTACATGCACTCCTCATACCATGCATACATAGCATGTGAGGTAATTGGATGGGACCTATCCATACATATTGCCCCATCAACGTCTGAGTGACTATGGCTGTCACGAACAAGCAGCTGTTGCTACCAGTTAAAAACAAACTATCTTCACTCTTTCTAAAAATAGAAAGTGAAACAAATCAATTATTGACAACTTGATTATGAAAATCAATATATTCAAAAGGAAACATTGTCAAAAGCATTTCCAAGCTAAACAGCCACTCATTATCCATTCACACACAGAGAACCCTAAAATATATTCTGCTGATTAAAGAACAGACACAAAAGAACATATATGAAACCCTCAGGCACGCAGATGGAACAGTCCCAAACTACAAATCTATACAGCAGCTTATTTTGTTTGAAACCTTCTTGATTTTTTTACTTTTACTGCCATGTGTGCCAGAAATTTTAGTTAGGTTAATCTGAAACTATTTGTGTAGTGTGGAGTTGTGAAATGTGTATGAGTGGCATAAAACACAGCAACAGAGACAAGCTTACTTCCTATTTGACAATCAAATGGATAAAAGCAAGAACACACCAGTAGGTAAAGGCACAAGAAAACTTCTTACCCTTAGCCTATGATCACCGCCAACAATCCTGATTCCAAGAATGTGCTCATCATCATCAAGAAGCTCCAGCCTCTCAGTGCTGGTCGTTGCTGGCAGCCCAGATTTAACATTCACCTCTCTAACGCTCCCAATGCCAAGGTCCCCCTTCATGGTGCACCGACTAACAAACGGCTTGTACTTCTGGGGTTGATCAAATCTCCTCACCAACGACCACACCTGATCAAAGACACCAACTTGATCACACCACTAAATCAACAACTTAGTCTTATAGTAAACATAGCAACAGTGAACCCAAAAGGCAAGCGTCCAGCTTCCACTAGATCTTTGCCATTAAAAAACTAACAATTTGTTTGGCTACAGAAAGTGCAAAAAAGGAAACATTTTCTTTGCGTGCAAGCTAAAATTTAAGAAAGAAATGGAAAAGAAAAAGAAACACCCCTTATTCAAATTTTCATACTTCCTTAGGATTTTCTTACACTTATCAGCAACCACAAAAACAATTACAACAAACTGAAAGGGGAGAATTATTAAACCGAACCATTTGGAATTCAATTTTCTTAAATCATCACAAACAAAACCAAAATTACTTAAATTACCATCCTAATTTTGCCATAAATTACCATCCTCTACACAAATATTACATTTCAGCAACCACAAATTCATTGAAACTAACAATCAAACTCGAATCTTAAAGCATATCCGACCAAATTGAACCAAATAACAAAACCCAGAAGAAAAAACACAAAAAAGAACCCCCAAAAATTCCCATAGTCCCCAATTTCCCAGATCTCCAAAACCAAAAAAAGTCAAACCCACCAAGAAAATCCTATCTTTAACAAAAAGTCATACAAATCAACACCACCCAAAATCGAAAGAACCATAATTCGAAGCTCGATATACAGTCCAGAGAGAGATGAGGAGAGACAGGCTTACGAGATGCACAGGGGCTTTGATGTGCCTGACCAGAGCCGATGTACACTGGTTCTCTCTGGGCTCGTGCCTGTGGTGCCTCCGTATGTACTCCGCCTCCATCGAATCACCGCCGCCGCTGCTCATTTTTCAATAAAGTATTGTTTCCCTTCAATCTCTCAATCCCTCAATCCCTCGAACCCCTCGAACCGTTTCTTTCTCTCTTTTTTCTCTACAAACAAACGAGGACAACGGGAGAAGAAGGCAATACAAGAACAGACGCTTCCAGAGAGAGAGAAAATATGCTTTTCTTTATTTCTTGAGAGAGAGAGAGGCTTTTGGTGTGAAAAAAAGTAGCTTCGCTTGGCGGGTTATCAAAAAAAACTAGGAGGAGAGTCCACTCTGTCCCACCGACAAGACAATTTTTTAGTCCCGAAAATTAAGCCCAAGGCCTTTTTTTTTTTTTTTTTTCCCTTTGGGTCTGTTTATACTCATTTACATGTAAATAAAAAATTACAAATAATATGGTAATTACAATTAGTTTAATTAAATTACATGTAGATTTACAGAACACGTGTATACGTCCAAGTAACGTTTTGCGTGAATGTAAACATAAATGTCCTGTCATATCATTAATATTAGATACTACAATAACAATGTAAGGTCATTTTCAATCATAGAGGCTAAACGTAATCCTTAATTATATTTTAGACATTCAAAATATTTTAAAGACTACTTTATGGTTAAACTTTTCATCTCTAACCTGGGCTATATTTTGTTCTCCTAAATATTTTTTTACTTTTAGTTTTTACCAAACATAACTTGTCTTGGGGCTAAATGTTGTCTGTTTTGAAGCCAAAGTTAGTCTAATTCTATTAGCTCAATTCCCTTCAATCCTTTGTTTCTACACTGATTTTGTCAATATTAGGACTAAATACGATTTATAACCCTGGATTGAAGATGGCCTAACTGTAACATATAAGTTACTCTTATGGACTATAAAAATAAGGTTTAAACTGGAGTATATAACCCTAGCCAACTTAAGGAAGAACGAGTTTTCCTTGAACCTGGGCCTCTATTAAAAAAGTGCTTTAAGCCTTTGTCAGTTTTTTTAATTAGTAAAATAATAGGAAAATGTTGGAAATTGTCCCCAAAATTTTGTCTACGGTTACATGGTGGTGAAGGATTGTGTAGTGACAGTCCACTCTCTGGCTTGGAATTGGGTTGGTTTGGTGGGTGGTCAAGTGGGGATGCTTTTTATTGGGTAGCTAGCTTTTTGGGTTGAGTGGATGGGTTCTGCTGGCTTTTGTTTTATTAGCCGCTGAGTAAGTGGATGATTTTTAAAGTCGAGATTTGGTGGAGTGGGGTTGGGGATGATGCCCACTTGCGTCCTTTGCTTAGTTGCTACCATGGCTGTTACATATCATTCATCATTTTTCACATTATTTTAATGTAGTTGAATATTATGATTGGAATATGACACATCCTGATCGGAGTCGAGGCATGTTGGCCGACACTCAAGGATAACGTAACCAAAAAGGAAAAGATGCACAAGAAAATATGAATAAATTTAAAACAAAACTAACATTTATTTAATCTAAAGTAAAGAGTGCGCAGTAGTGGGAAAAACCCATAAAACACAACTGTACAGAACATAGATGGCGGTACGACATGAGTAGTGCAGTCGAAACTAATTAAGGTACTTAATACACAATCAGGAAAAAACCCCTACATTTATCTATGGAAATGTCAAAATAAGCCGGAGATTCCTTGTACACCACAGGGTATTCAGCTAACTAGGTCTTGGAGGGATGAAAAACAAAAGGGTGAGTGGGCAAAACAAAGGTTTATAAAACACATTTATTTTCTGAACATACTAACCCCTCGCCGTAAAACATGTATAGTTTCCAGAAAATCATACTACGTATAAGTATGAAATCAAATGTAAATCAACAATAAATTCAGGAATACGCCAATCATAATATCTTAATAGTAGCATAATAAAATCAGGTGCTTATCAATCTATGCTAACACACGAGTTCATGCAGAGGGAATTTAACACGAACAGGACTGGGTGTAAACAAAATATACGCTCTAATACTACAATCACGTGAAGACTGGCGCTAGGCGCATCACATATGAGTCGAAGTTGCCTATTGCAACATGTACGATCGGACTGGCACCTACAATGAATCCAAGGTGAGCGTGCGGTGCAATGTGAACATACACGTAAAGCCTGGCCCTAGCTCGGGCGAGTACAACACCGGTGCAAGCATGCATGATAAGCAAGTATAATGTATGTGAACATGCCATGACAATATATAAAAATCTCAACAATAATATGGCATTTTTAAAATTAAATAGAACATGGCATGATAGGTGTAAAATCAATCCAAAAGCACATGTGGAAACTATAAACTTCATATATAATATATAAAAACAAATGCCCACTCACTAATACGTCGATGAATCGTAGCCTCCTAGCCTTGTTTGTCCTCGTACCTCCTCGGGGTAAGTCTCACCTATATGTGAAATAACTTTACTAATAAATTAATTAGGACATACACTAAAAGGCTAGGAAAATCCTCCATAGTTTTCTCAAACGAAGGGTTTAAATATACGAAAACATTCTACTCGACATCACAGACTTGTACATGTCAAGCACGAGCCGCCCAGAGGCCAGATGCGCCCTCACGAGCCGCCAGGTCGAGGCCACACGTGCACCCATACACATGCCACGCGCCTGACCCGCTGACAGATGACAAAGGAATATTCCGTCAGATTTGACGGAATATTCTATTAAATATTAACGACGTTAGCATATTCTATTAACTTTAACGAAATATTCTCCTTCTTCTCCGGTTGTCCTCCTCCGCCGCCGTCTGGTTTGCCGGAAACTGGGGAATTTTCATCGAATTCTTGAAAAATGTTCAAACTTCATATCTTTTTCATTTCTCAACCATTTTTTACGTACTTTATATGGAAATGAAGCTTATTAAGAGTAGAACAAGTCTATACCTTTTAAAAGGCAAAAAAGTGGACATAAATGGACTGAAATTAGCTCGAAAGTATCGGACCTATTTTCAACTCCTTGAAAATATGGGTTTCGTTAGTGGTCACGAGGAGTTGTGTAGTGGCCTCCAAATCTCCCAAAACCTTGTAACACGAGCTAGAAAACAACGGGGAAGCTCCACCCGAGTAGGAGCTCCGAGTTGGAAGCTCAAAACTCGTCCATTTTAAGATCGGTTTATATGAATGGACTCGTGGGGATGAGTGGAGTTTAATGGTGGTGGTTTAAGGTTCGATATGTGAAGTTGTTTTATGGTGCAAGGTTGTTGCAGAGAAGAGAGAGTGATGGGTGAGGGAGAGAAGAAGAAGAGAGAGAGAGAGAATGCTTTTCTGATTGGACAAAAGAGAGAGAGTATGTGTGTCTGATTGGGGGAGAAAATGTGGGAATAAAGTTGATTGGTGGGTGAGGTAGAGCAAGTGACGGGAGAGATGTTTAAAGAGGGAACGGATAAGGTTTTGTACAATATAAAATGTACATAAAATCTGTAAAATCTAACTCACCGAAACACTGTTTCCAACAATGAATAATTAGCACACACGTGTACAAATCTACCCATTGTTAATGCATTTTAACTAATCGTAACTTTTTCGTTACAAGTCTGATTCAGGTCTAACTCACATTCATGCATTCGTAACAACGAATACTAATTAATTACAATATCGAGAAAAATAATTTAAAAGTCGAATGACGTACGTCAGGTTCCACTTTGCCAAAAGGGCATAAACATCAATTTACACACTCGGGGAGAAAATTACATCGAAAATTAGGGACGGGTCGTCACAAAATAATTCTTCACTTTGATCTCTGAGATTTAAAATAGATAAGAGTGGTTCTTGAATTTGTCCATCATCAATCATTTTGGTCATTTCGTGAAAAATCTTCGTTTAATAAGACTAAACTGACAATGGGTAAAGTACAAAAAACTACCTCAACTATTGGTGAGTGTCACGACACTTTCATACCTCATCTTTTAAAATTGATAGTGTCATACCTCATGTTTAGAATTTGATCCAATGTTATACCTTCCGTTACTTGGTCATTTACTTTTCAGTTAAATGCTGACGTGGCTTGATTCGGGGTCCATTTTCTATTAAAAATATTAATAAAATATTATTATAAAAAAATATTTAATATTTTTTAAAATAATAAAGAAAAGTAAAAAAAAAATCCCTCTGTTCGTCCCTTCTCCCCCTCTCTCTCTCCCCATCTTCATCTTCTTCCTTGCTTAATCTTCAACAAAAAAAAAAAACAAAAAAAAATAAATTTGAAAACCCATCAACCCCCCAACCCCCCCGGGGAAGAAGAAGAAGAAGAAAAAATAAATAAAAATTAAATGCAACCCAACCCAGTTCTCCTTCTTCTTCTTTCTGGGTTCACCGGGGGGGTTCTTTTTCTTCTCCTTCTTCTTCTTTCTAGGTTGCGGGTGGGGGACGAACTGGGTTGGGTTGGGTTTTTTTTTTCTTCTTCTTTTTTCTCGGTTGCAGGGGGTTGAGGGGGGCGCGAATTGGGTTGGGTTGCATTTAATTTTTTTTTTCTTCCCCGGGGGGGTTGGGGGGTTGATGGGTTTTCAATTTTTTGTTTTTTTGTTTTTTTTTTGTTGAAGATTAAGCAGGGAAGAAGATGAAGATGGGGAGAGAGAGGGGGGAAGGGACGAATAAAGGGATTTTTAAATTTTTTTTTTTACTTTTCTTTATTATTTTAAAAAATATTAAATAATTTTTTTTAGTTTTTAATAATTTTTTAATAGAAAATGGGCCATGAATCAAGCCACGTCAGCATTTAACTGAAAAGTAAACGCCAAGTAACGGAAGGTATAACATTGGACCAAATTCTAAAGATGAGTTATGACATTGGCAATTTTAAAAGATGAGGTATGAAAGTGTCATGACACCAATAGTTGAGGGAGTTTTTTGTTCTTTACCCTACCCAATGACAAAATTACTTTCAAATTTTATCAAATCATTTTGGTTCATTGTTTATTAAATTGAGGATATTTTTGTTATTTTGGTTCTTATTTAACCGAAGTTTTTCACAAAATGATTGGTGGTGAACAAACTCAAGAATCATTTCTATCAATTTCAAATCTCAGGGATCAAAGTGAGGAGATATCAATTTCAAGAACTATTTTGATTAAAATACCTTATAAATAAGATAGTTAAAATTTTAGTATACTCTAACGTATAAAATTCATTAAATTTGAGCATATTTATAGGAAAACTAATGAAAAGGGCTTGAAAACTTTGAGTTTTAACAATAATGACAAAATAAAGGGTAAAGTGAAT